GCTTCCTCCTCAGCTTCTCTTTTCATGTTTACAACTTCATGTGCTTCTCCTGCAAAGCACACATTGTTGGTGTGCTGCTGCAAGTACTGGAGTTCATTCTCTTCTCTTCTCTGGATCCTGTTGCTGTTTGCAGGAAGAGAAAACCTTTAGGTAATTTAAAAGTTTTCTCTTAGCTGTGCCAAGCTTGACCCTGTCTCTCAGGCTGACACTGCTGAGCCTCTGGAGATATTTCAGGTTCCCTAATAAACCCCTGTGCCTGAGCTGACACTCACTGAAATGAGAATAACACCTGTACTATCACTAAAATAACAAATCAAAGAGATTTGTTGACAAAGAGATTGTCAACAATCCATTGCTGCTCTGTGGTTCCTTTGTCCCCCTACAAAAAAAGAAGTAGGGGCTTCCCATGTGAATCATTTGTGGGAATTTAGGGATAGTTTATGTAGGACTTTGTGACCTGTAAGAGGGGCACTTACTGCAGAAAGCAGGGCAGATTACGTATTTACAAGCCCTTTAGACAGTGGACACTTGTGTAAGTAAGGCAGCCTCAATACCTCCTAGACTGAAACAGAGGGGTAAAACCCCTTTTCCCAGCCAGATCATACCAAGGGTGAATACATTCTGCATATGACACCTGACATCCTTTGTGTAGCTACAGGGGCAAAATGGAACCTTGTGAATAATTAGACACTGTCATTCTGGATTATTTTTTAATTAGAAATTCATGGGCAACATACCTGAACATTTCAGAATGTTGCTCTGAGTTTCTCTTATCGGTGATTATTTTTTTCCCCACAGAAGGGTATCATACATTGTTTCTTTGTGTCTGTTTCGTGGCAGTCAAGGAGAAAAAATTCATCGTCTTTGTTCTACAGCCATTTAGCTTTAAACATGCTGCAACAAATGTTTGATTTTGCCATTTCAAGAATAGAGGTTTGCAGTTGTTCACTCTTAATCATCCTTGGAAAAGATTTTGATATAAAGACATGACTTCTTTCCCCTTCCTACATCTGTATCTGTGTATCTTCCCATGCAATTTGCCCCCTCTATCCTAGAAAAGGCAATGAGTACTTATGACTAAACCAGATAGGTGTGAGCAATCAAGTAGTGCTAATATTTGCATGAGTAAGAAACACCATTTATGAAGACAATTGAGACAAAATAAAGGTGCTCTATGTAATTAGGATAATAGCTGCATGTCATCACTTTCCCTGTGTATTATTATGACACTCTTGATTAACCAGGTGTAGAAGGATTTGGAAAGGCCAGAAAAAAAAAATATTAGGGAATCACAGTTGGAAGTAAGATGAAGCAGAGAATGAAAATATATGTGTGCCTAGAAAAAAAAAAATCTGTTTCTTGACAGTATAGAATTGGGGACTAAAGTCTGATGGCAGCTGTTAGTTCCAAACAGGTAGGATTGATCTAAATTATGGTTTCTTGAGAGAGTAATTTTTTTCCAGTGACAGTTTTTCTGCTTCCATTTGCTTAAAGAAGGAGGAGGATCCTGACCTTTTAAGCAGTGGAGGGCAGTTCTCTTGAAGATTTTCATCACTATTGAGCTTGTTTTCCTGTGATCCGTGGGAATGGAGGCGTCTGCAAGCCAGCCTGAATGGGTGCAGCCTGGCTGACAGCATGATGGGAGAGTTCAGAGCTCGGGGAAGGAGATTACAGACTTCCTGCCAGAAGGGGGTAATTTTGTCACAGGTGCAAGTACATGAAGTGTCACAGAGATGACACAGAGTGTTGACACTGATGCTCGTTTCCTAAAGTTCGGTGGCTTAGCAGGGTGGAGTACTGCAGGAGTCTCCAGGGGTAAAGTGAAGATGTCACATTGATGAAATCCCAAATACTGTCCAAGTTCCCCCATGAAAACAGTTAAGGCTTCCTCCTCAATACCAGCTCTCTCTGCACAAGTAATTACAAAATTAAATCTCCCTCACCAAAACTACAAACACCTCAAATTTGTTGAATATGTTTCCCAAGGACAATATTGAGGGGTTTGCAGGGGACAGGACATTAGTGGAGGCCCACCTTTTGGCCATAAGAGCAATGTGTGTCTCAAGATGAAGTGGCAGTTTAATCCCTAAGGATGCACAGACATTTATATTTAAAACTCACATAACTTTCACATTCATTAAGCACATTTGAAGTGGTGGATAGTATATAAAATATCTCATTCTCATCTCAAGCAGCTTAATTTGTGCTTGCCCTTAGGCTGAAGTGTAAGAACTGAAGGCTTCCACCTGTGTCTGAATTGCACATGCAAATTTTTTTGATAAAATGGTACCTAAAAAAGACAATATAAAATAATTGGGGGCTTTTTTGCTCTTGAGTAGATCTTTTTCCTAGATAAATTACAATAATTTTAAAAAACTGCCTGTTCAGTGCACTAGCAAGGATTTTAATGATGATATGTTTGTACAGTTCTCATTTAGTTAATGAAATATGTAGCATATTTAGATCTAAATCAAATCACAAGTTTGGCTTCTCCTGTTCTCAGTTGCCTATGGTGAGTTTACCATAATTTTTTGTCTATGTTTTTCAAGCATAATGCTGGTTTTGCATTTTAGTAACTATAGAGATTTGTCTTTGTGATATTTACTACAGTGTCCCTTGATGTGAAATATATGTTATCCAACTAATTTCATATCCCTCACTGCATTGAAAAGCAAATTTTCAAGTGATAGTTTAGATGTATTTGGCAAAATTTATATTCAGCAAAATGGTCATGCACAGCTTGAGAGTGTGTAGTCAAGGGAATTCAGGTTCATTGCTTTTTTGCATTTAGTTTTATTTTTTGTATATTTGGACTTGATTCAACAAAGCACTCAGGACTTAAATGCAAAGTTGCAAGTACTTAAGTGTAAAGTCAAATCATTTCTCACTGCTTTGCCACACTAAGTCCATAAGTGCCTTCAAATCCTCTGGGTAAAATTTATCCCAGGTACACTATCTATTGTATTTTCACATCACACCATAGCTCATCATACATGATAGACAGAAAAAAAAAAAAGAGAAAAAAAACCCACAAAAAAAACCCAAAAAACCCCCAAAAAAACCACAAACCCAACTTGGTTAGATGGAGGGTTGTTCTCCAAGAGAAAGAATTCTCTTCCAAGCTATTTTTTCCTGGACAGCCAGAATCTGTAGGATTCTGTGCTTTCTGACCTAGCACAGCTCACAGCAAGCTGTGCTCTGCAGCATTTCCTCCTGGCACTTCAAGGCAAGGCTGGTCAAACAGCATTTCATCCTCACAGACATCTGCTCAGCGTTTGAAAGGAGTTGGGATCTGTCATCCATCTTTATACCATTCCTTTTATTGCTGCGTTAGTTAGTGAGTGCCCTGAATAACAGGACATATGACAGTCCATTACTGTTAATGGGGTTATTGTAGAATCACACGTCTGAAAAATACTGCCTCAAGCAAAATATTAAGAGATAATTTAGTACTGTCTTTCAGGAAGGTACATGCTGGGGTTAATGAAAGTTTGACTTAGTGAACATGAAAGGATCACATTGTTTGATCTGCTTGAAATGGTATTTATTATTCTCATTTAGATAATTTTCTTAACTAAAATAGGAGTGTATTTCTTATTAGTTTTGCCCCCCAAGTGAACTCCTTTGGCTGAGGACACAGCCCCGACAGGAGTTGTTGTCAGGCAACCCAGGGACATGGATGCTGATGCCAGAAGGGCAGGGAGAGCACAACTGCTGACCGTGGCCATTGCCCTTCCTGTCCTCTGTGCTGCTCCCTGAGCAGGGATGGGCAAACAAGGCTTGAGGGTTTGACCATTGCCACAAAACACTGGACGGGGAAACACGTAATTGTGGCCTGGTGGTGTCCTCTTCCATCTTCCAAAAGGGAAAAGGTGCTGAGTCAAGGTTAGGGATTTCTAGGCTGCTCTCAGGGGGTCAGGAATTGCTCTGAATGAAAAAGCTGAGAGATTTCCAACTGTGAGAGCTATCAAAATATAATGTTCAGCTCCAGCTTTTAATTTTGCTAGCCCATGCTTAGAAAACAACGTATGGAACAAGAGAGCACAGTGCTTTCTGCTCTATCCACCGGCACACTGCCTTAAAGTTTGCCAGCTTTAGGGGCCAGGAGTCAGGTTCCAGCATAAGGCAAGTGTAAGAGCCTCAGGGCAATGACTTTTCTCTAATTAGCACCACGTGGCACAGACAGACATTTAACAAATAGGAATGCCACTTCCAACAAGCAGTGTAGTGTTTCTTTCAGCATTTACTGTTTTGGTTGCAAGTGAGATGCAGCCAAATGAATGTACATGGAAAGCCCCTGTGTCCAGCAAGCAGTCCTGCTGCTGTCCATGGGCTATCATTTTTCAATTCAGGAAAAAAGAGAACACAGTAGACACCTATTACACACACTTATAATTTAATAGCTGATCATTAAAAATCTAGGCACACTATGCAAATTAACTGAGCCACACAACCTCTGGTCGAACCTGGCTCTGTTTAGAGGAGGGGGATGTTTTTCATGCAAAGTAGATCTTTCCAATCCATTTCAATTTATTTTTCATGAAGAATGGTACCAAGACACTGCCCATCAGCTTTGCTTTGCTGCCACGTGCTTTGGCCATTAGCAGTAACATGCAGATGTGTCGTTTATCAAACGGTGTTGCAAGTCAATATGCCTTTTGAAAAAGGCAACACGCTGGCACTGAAATGGGTGGGTTGAGGGTATGTCAGGGCAAGTTTTTATCATCTCCGAGCTCCTGTTAGGGGAAATACAAATTTGGTATCACCTGACATTTTTGTATCTAGCTTGTCTTTTTCCTCAGCATAGACATTCATTATTCAAAGTAGATTTGAGGGCTTCTGGAAAAGCCAAAAGGCGGGCGCTTGCTATGTTACAACTGTTGGGATTCATTAAAGCTGCTAAGACAAAAAAAAAAAAAAAAAAGAAGGAAAAATCTTCCCTGGGCCAAATAAAATTGAAATGCTGCTGCTGTAAGACTGTGGCTGGATTTTGGGGGATTGGTGACTAGCTTGACAAACCTGTTCTCAGCAGTTGCTTGGCCGAGGTCGCTCCAGCACCTGTGCAGGAGTGGGCGCCTGCTCTGTGTGCGGCCAAGGAGACGGCAGATGTGCTTGGCGGGTCTCCACGCGGCATCCCGGCCGTGCCGTGCCGTGCCGTGCTCTGCCCGCTCGCTTCCAAGCGGGAAGCGCCGCGGTGGGACTAGGGGCGGGGGCGGCTCCATCCAGCACGAAGGCGAGAGATCCCATTCCGCGGCGTTTGTGGAATTCTGCCGGATTATTTCTGCGGGTTTTCTGTTTGTTTGGTTGGGCTTTTGGTTTTGTTTTGGTTTGGTTTCTTTTCGGGGTTTTTTTGTGGTTTTTTTGTGGGTTTTTTTTTGTTTTTTTTTTTAAAGCGGTAACGCCACCGACGTGCCGAGCTCGGTGTCGCACCGCTGCCTGCGGGTGTGGCAGGCGCCGCGCCGCGCATCCCTCCGCTGCATCCCGCTGCATCCCGCTGCATCCCGCTGCATCGCGGCGCACGGCGCTCCGCCGCCTCCCGCTCCGCGCGGTTCCGCAGCGCCGTGCGGCGGCCCCGGTGTCCCCGCGGCGGCGGCGGGCGCGGCCGGGGGCGGGCGGAGCGCCGGGCACTGATAGGCCGGGCGGATGCGCAGGCAATTTATCATCCCCGGCTCCCGCGGAGGCAGGCAGCGCGCCTGTCACCAGTATTGATTTCAGAGGATGGACTAAATTTCCTAGGATTTCCATTAAGAATTAAGCGAGGAGGAGGGGAGGGGTAGTGGGGGGAGAGAAAGGAAGGGAAGGAAGGGAGAAAAAAAAAAAAAAAAAAAAAAAAAGAAGCCGTAAGCACGCAGGGTAGCCAGGCAGACATGGATATGAGATGGCACTGTGAAAACTCGCAGGTAGCTTCTTCTCTCACAGCCGATGCAGCGCACAGACGAAGCACTGCCGCATGCAGGGTTTAAGATACCTTTAGGCTGACAGCAAGGAGGAGAAAGAAAAAAAAAAAAAAACCAAAAAAAAACAAAAAAAGGGCATTTGCACCGATTTACTGAAAATTACTTTTTTTTAGACTAAAAAATATTAGAATATGTCTCCTTGGAGATTTCATGTCATTAATATCACGATCAAATTTCTGCACGATATCTGTTTGAAATCTAGAAAAGCTTCTAAATTGTATTTTTTTTTTTCTTTTCTGCTCCAAGAAAATAACGCTTTGGTACCCAGAGCATGGATGCTGCTGTTTTTTTAATTTTTCTCATCTGCTTTTTCTTAAACACCAGGGTTTTTTCTTTTTTTTTTTTTTTTTTTTTTGAGCATGTTTGCTACAAATAAGTCTAAAAAGGAAAGGAAAATCGAGAAGAATCAAATAAAAGCATGAATAAAATCTGCTTCAAATAGTTGCCAGGCTGCTTTCTTTTTAACAATCTAGCGATTATTTTGGCTTAAATTATGCTTAAACCCTGACCATGCATGCTTTTCATCTTGGCTTAGAATATGTGTGTACGTGTGTGTGTACGTGCGTGTGTACTTGTTTTGATTTGATTTTTTTGCAGTGAGCATTTGCACAACGGGAATTCCTGTGAGTTATATGCATGCTTTGATAAGAAAAATTGCATCTCAGTGAATGACTGTATCTGATGGACTAAAATGTAGTGATATATAATGCAAAGTAGCTTCATTTTTAACTGAGTTACTTCTGATCGTTTGGGGGAGGGTAAATGACTGCATGCTTATGACAATGAAAGTGTTTGTGTATTTTCTCAAAGGTTGATTGTTTATTTGCTTGTTTCTAACACGAAGAGAGGTGTTTCCTTTTATTTATTTATTTGTTTGTTTTTCAAATAACAAACCTGCAAGGCATCTGATTTAAAAGAGCACAGGCTACAAAGCTTTCCCTGTTACCTGAAAACGAGCAGAAGGGTGTGTGTTTGCGTGAGAGCACCCAGCTCCTCTGGGGAGGTTGGTGATCTTTTCAGCTCCTTATTCTCCCCAAGAAGAGTTAAAATGCCGTGGCTGGCTGGCGCCTGCGTGCACCATGGGAATTCTGCTGGCAAAGCCAGGGCTGGCAGCAGGTGCGACAGGTGTATCGTGATAGTGGAGAAAGGCAAAGGTGCGGGTGAGGGTTGCCAAAAGAGGTTAAAGGGTTTTAAAAGCAGCAGCTTCCATCTGTACAGAAATCTCATTTTCCCCCAGTAGCTAGAAAGACAAGGGGAAAAGCTTTTTTTTTTTTTTGGTGCGTTTCATTTGTTTCAAATGAGTCAGAGGATAATAAAGCGGGAGAGAAGGTTCAATTTTATTCTGCTTTGCAGGTTATAACTCTATGTTGAGAGAGAAGTGATGGTTTTTGAGGCTTTTTTCATGATAATGAAAAGGCTGAACTGGATCCAAACTATCTGACTTCATTCATTGCTGCAGTTGTGAGGCTGAGCATCAAACCTTCTTTCCTTAGGCATACAGGGTGTGTTGCATTTGCTAGCTGGGCTTTCTCAGAGTTCTGCCATTAAGCCTTTTGCGGTTTTTTATTGTATTCATTTAAATCACTTAATGTGCCATTTTGTACAGCAGCTCTTCTCTTACTGCTCTGCGCTAATCAATACCAAATTTTACTCTTCCCATAGCAGCTTACCCCAGGGAGAAAAAAAAAAATTGGGTGGTTGTAACCATGCCAAATGGCTCTGGCCTGTTGGTAACTTAGGCCACTCCTCAAGTCTGGGCTGGAAACTTTGTGAGTTGAGTCTACCATTCCTAGCTCTCTTCCTAATAATCCTCCACATCACCTAGGCATCATATATAATTTGACACAGCTGACAGCATCCACTTAGGAGAAGCTTAGGGTTGAGCCAGAATGAAAATTGAATTGCATCTCAACTCCCTAATATTAATGATCCTTCCAGGTCAGCAGAGGAGTAATTGCCAGGACAGCCTGAGGAATTGTCCATTAAACCTGCCTAGATGGCAGCTCACCTGTGGAGAGATGCATCTAGATGGCGTGTACAAAATGAATTCCATTTGCTTAATATAAGGTCTGCTGGACTTATGAATATTTCAAAAGCCAACATGTGGTCTCAAGTTTAATACCAAGTAATTTTTCTGGTATTTTAAGATTGCTTATAACTAAGGCTTAGCCAAATTGCCTTAGACGTGTCTGAAAAAGAAAATTTTTCACAGAAAAATCTGGTTGGTGGTTGTATCTTGAAGGGCAAGCCTATATTTCTGTAAAGGTGTAATTTGATCTAAAACCTTGTGGCATGAAGCAAGAGAAGAAAAGTTCATGTTATCCATGTTCTTTAGTCCTTGAGGTCGCTGCGCATTTAGACTATCCCATTAATCAGTCAAAATTGGTATACACAACCTGATTAGGTGGGCAGCTGGACCTTTAAATCCCAAATCAATATTCAACAGGAATTCAGAGGAGACAAACAGCCTAAGGACAATGTTTAGAAACTCAAATGTGCTTTATGTCTTGGTGTAATGCTGATTTAGCAAGAAATCCCAGTCACAGCGCGAGAGGGTTTATTTTTTGACCTTGTGCATATGAGATGACAGAGAAAGTTAAGAGTTGTCAGCATGGCTTTACTGCAAGGGGGAAATGCAGAGGGGGTTCATCCATCCTCTGTTGCCATTACAGAAGGTACCCATTTGGAGCAGCAGAGAACAGAGGTGCACAGAGCAGACCAGAATACAGACACTTCAAACTGAAAATCATGTTCTTCTGAACTTGCCTCTGTGCCAGGTTGATGATTTAACTGAAGTACCATAGTCTGCAGACACAAATGAGGGAACAATCTAACTTGCTGCAATCCAAGTGGGATATATCCTCTAGGAAATCTTGGACCACTGCCTGTTTATCTGTTCTCTCTCTCATCACAGCTACCGAAAACTATGGTGGGTTTTTCTTTCAACAGCCATGTCAGCTATAGCAGCTTCATGTAGTAAAAGGATTTCTGACTGCTGACACTCTTCTGCCATGGGTCACTTGTTTCCACTGCTTAGAGGAGTTTGTTTCCTCTCCTCAGAGCTCCTTGTCTTCACACTGCTGGAGATGGTGTCACAGCTTGGCTGGGTTGTGTGTACATACACACAAGAAAGCCTTTCTGAGCCTTTCAAGATAAAGAGTTGAAGAAATTCAGTCTTAGCCAAGGAGAAGCTTGACAGACAGAACTTGTTGGTGAAGAGTAAATGATTTTCGTACTTCTTGGTTGACATGTTCAGTAGCTTGAAATATTTTATAATTATTTTTAGTTGTATGTATTGCTACAAAGTTTAGTCATTCTATTAGTTTCATGCTGCTAAATTTTTTGAATTAGCTGGTTTTTAGCAACTAATTGAACAGCTTTTCTGACACAAAAATTAATTTTACACTTGTTTTGCACATTCAGCCACTGATGACTTTTAATTTCTGGATTTATTGCTCTCTCTGGTTTTTTATATTTCTCATATGTTTTTTCAACCCATAGACTGTTTTGCACTGCTCTTGCAAGTTGCTCTGACCAGCAGATCCAGAAGAAGTCTGATAAAATCATGAGAAGTTCCTCTTGTAGGGTAGCTTGTATGATTACAGTCTTTTGCTATGCTTTTCCACACTGGCTTTCTCTTTTTGTCTATATATGAACCATACTTCATTTTTTGCCAGTGGGCTGCATAATTAGATTTAGCTATATAATCACATGCCATTAATAAGGGCTAATCCCTTCTTGTCAGATCTTATCTTTCAATCCCTTTTGGGTGAAACTTCAGGTAATGCCTCCAATCTAAGTACCAGATTGAGAAGAGACAGAGTAAGGGCTGAGGGCAAAACTTAGACAAAGCAGCTATTTGAAACAATGTGGGGTACATCAGAAGGCAGCCAACAAAACCCCTGCAGTTCCTCTGAAAAAGTAGTTGTTGGGACTGCTCCTGTGCATTTGACTGCGTTACTAGAGAATGGTAGTTCTAGAGAATGCCCTTCTCTACTAAAGAAGGGAAAAAACCTGTGTGCAACCTCTAAAAAAAACATGGAAAGATACGGATTAGAAAGTGTGTTCTGTACGTGCAGGGAATCTGAGTGTTGTGGACACTTCAGCTAGCCCTGTGCAGCAGTTTGGCTAGGTCTCCAGGAAAGGTGGATTAAGGTGAAGTTCTACCATCCCTGAGGTCAATGGAAACACTGTCAGTGACTTCACTGTCACTGACATTCCGCCCCTGGCAGAAGTCCGAACAGCACAGAGTGTGAAGTCTAAGTATGTGAGGACATATGAATTGATTTCTAAACCCAGCTATCTTGGATGATTGTTGCTTAAAGTAAATCAGAAGTTAAATGGGAAATGAGCAAGATGGCATTTTCACCAGAATGATTCATTTTAAATTCCATCCCACGAAGAAAATGATTCCTTGCCAGTGAAGACCTGGGAAGTTTTCGGGTGATGAGGCATTTCTCACGCTGAGACTCTGTAATGTCCAGGACCTTGGAACACCTTCTGGTTTGAGCCTGGCCGTATGTTTTTGGCACAAATCCAGAAATGAATATAGTAAGTTGTGGACTTTAGCACAGAGTAAATTGCATTTCTTGGCTTCAATATTGTTAGTGCCTTGTTCGCTGGTTTCTTTAAATTGGCTGTGGTGTGGCTGCAAGCCAATACTAAATCACATGAAGACTGAAATTATTTTCCTTAAATTTTCACAAGTTTTGTATTTTTCCTTCCTTTTAGTTCCTTTGATTTCTCTTATTCCCTTTCCTATCTATTTCAAAATTCCCATGCTAGATT